TTAAATTCATATTATTTTAATGAGTTACAAGATGCATATGATGAATTATTTTTGGAATTTGAGACCATGAACTCTAAATACAAGAAATTAATTTTAAAATTTAGAGTTGAAAATGATTTTCTTTTGAAAGCTAAAATGGATTTTGAAAACCAAAATGAAATTTTGAAAAATGATTTAGAGCTTTCAAAAATGAAAATTGAAAGTTTTGAAAAAGAAACTTTTGATTTAAAAGTTAAGATTGAATGCTTAACAAAATAAAAATAAATCATTTTAAATAATTCATCTAGTTTCATAATGACAAAATGCTCACATTGTCATTATCATGGTCACAAGGAACATACTTGTCATTTGAAGAAAAAACGTTTTAAAATTAGACAAGTATGAGTTCCCAAAAGAACAAGGGGCATTGAAACTAACGTCCAAGGATCCAAAGCAATTTGGATACCAAAATCTACTTAAATATCTCTTGTAGGTGTGTGGGAGCAATGGTGATGAAAATAAAGAAATTGAGATGCTCTAGCCACACTTAAAATGGAATGGGTAACCTCTAAGCTTAATGCTTTTGATTTTGATTATTTGGTTGCTCATTCTGATTTAAGCATGCATGAGTTTTGATTTTAAATGATTTGATGTTTTCCATCTCATGTATGTTGAATAAGTTTTATGATGAACATTTTAAAGTTTTAATGATTTTTCATAATTTTTAGTTCATCATAATGAATTTTGGTCAAAATTGGTTTTAAATGCAAATGACATCTCTCTAACAATTGATTTTTAAGTTTTTGACCCAAATTTCAATGTTTATGCATGAAATTTAAAAATGCAAATGATATCTCTTTAACAATTGATATCAAAATTTTCAAATGCATAACATTTTTGAAAAGCTTTATGCATATGCACTTAATTTCAACATTTGATATTGCTAAAGTATTTTAGACTTGTATATATTGAATTTCATATGTTACTAACATTTTTGATACTCTTTGTTGAAATTCAATTTTGTTTAAGTGTCAAGCTTTTAAAGTCAATTTTTGTTTGGAATGCTTTTTGATGGGAAACTTTTTTTTTTCAAATGCTTTTTATGTCAAATTCACCACTTACTCTCCAATGTTATTTTTGAACTTTAAAGTTGAATTCTTTTTGATCTAACAAAAAAGGGGAGAAGTATTGTTTGAAAAATTCAATTTCTTAATGAAAAAGGGAGAGTTGAACATTTTCATACATTTTCCAACAATTGATATATTTTCATTAAACATTTTATTAAGGGGGAGTTTTGCCAAAAACAATTTTTTAAATGTTTTGTTATATCAAAAAGGGAGAGATTGTTGAACTATATTTTGATATAACAATTAAGGCAAAATGTTTTTGGACTTGAATTGAATTTATTCAAAGCTTTCAAAGTTTTTCAAAATAATTCAAAGTCCTTAAAGTTTGGAATTGAGCAAAAAACATTTTTCTAGACAAGAAGTATCGATATTGTTCTTACAGTATCGATACCTCATGAACAGTACCGATAATATTCATATGGTACCGATACGAAAGGTAAGGAAAGTACCGATACTCACTAGGTAGTACCGATACTACCAACATTGCTCAAGTTCCAGAATGCAAAAATGGTACCGATACCCAAAGGGTTACCGATACTACTCTACATAGTAGTATCGATACCATAGGCATAGTATCGATACCATTAGGCCCCAACGGCTAGTAACATCTAGTTGATTTAAATATAACAAAGGTAGTACCGATACTCCCTTTAGGAGTACCGATACCCTCTGTTCTGGGCAGCTTTATTTTGCACGAAAATTGATCCCCAACGGCTCTAAAACACTCCCAACGGCTAGAAACAGCCACAACTTCTTTCCAACATATAAATACAAGACCAAGACAATTGAAGAAGGGTTAGAACACCTATCCAAGCAATCAAACACAAGAGAAGAGTTTTCCAATCTTATTTTATCTCTCTTGTAAATATTTTTGTTCTAGTGAGCTAAATTTGTAAACACCCTACATTTGAGAGGTTTAATTGTTTACTTCTTTTTACCTTTTGTAAAAGGGGTTTGGTTCTATCTTAGCCAATTGAAAAGATATGGAGTTGTAAAGGTTACTCTTGATCGTTGAAAAAGAAATAACAAATTAGTGAATTTGTTAGAAAATCCTTAGTGAGGAGCTAAGGTAGTGGAGGTAAACTTGATTGAGAAGTCGAACCACTATAAATCCTTGTGTTCATTGTCTTATCTTTTACTCTCCTTACTCCCTAAACATATATTTTATCAATTCACCCCCTATGCATTTTTTTGGTTGTTTGATTTGAGCCTCTTCGATCCTAGCACTATGTAACTTGGGTTCGATACCCACCAAAAGAAAATTTTCCAAATTCATATTTAAGCCAATGAAAATATGACACGTGTCATCACTGTATAGGTTTATAATTATTAATATAATTATTTAAAAAAATTTATTTTTTGCTGATGTGGCCTTTGCCACGTCGTCACCTTTGTATATGTGCGATGCTATCTAAGCTTTCCATGTCATCTCTATGCGCTGACCGTTAGTTGACTAACGGTTTTCATCAAATGAGGGTGTTTTTGACCCAAAATGAAATATTAAGAGGTCAAATATTCCAAAAAAAAAATAGTAAGGGTAAATTTGACAATACTATCAAATGTTAGGGGTATTTTATTGCATATGCCTTTACAAAATTCAAAAGATTTTCCACCAAATAAAAGGTGGTTGAATCTAAATGGGACAACTCTCCGTAGTTGCTACGATGAGGTAAAACGCACTACTGAAACGTTTTTTTTTTAAGTTACAAGGTTTGAACTCATAATTTTTGTAATAATAAGGCTTAAATATAAAATCAATATCCAAATTATATCGTTTTTCACAAATAAGTGTTTAAAATATTTTTTGACTTATTCCGATGTCTAATGTTATAAACGTTATCATTTTAAGTGTCCAAACTATCAACGGCGTTAATTTACTTTGTTAAATGACATATATCATAATCTTATAACTTTAAAATTATTATTTTTCTTTAAAAAATAAAAATATTATTAAAAAAAAAAACCTCTCTCACCTGCATCCCACCTCTTTCCCTCCCTCTTTTCCTTCCCCTTTCCTTCATCTGCTTCTCTCCCTCCCCGTCTTCTATGGTATTTTCATGGTCAAGCAGTTGAGCAAATGGTTGGCTGCCATAGTCGATTATCACAATCGATTAAAAGAATTTAAAGAATTAAGTATTTGAGATTTTAGGTATTGAAATTTAGGGATTTGAGATTTTAGCGATTAAAGATTAAATTTTAGAAATTTGAGAATTTTGAGTTTTGAGATGAAAGGATTATGACCGGTCATTGGATTGTCGGCGACGTATGAGTGATCGATCCTTGATGAATAGGTGGTCGGAGATGATTGGTGGTTAGAGTAAATGAGACTAGAATAAGAGATTTTAAGAGTTTTTGGTTTCTTTGGTATTTTTAAGAAAATTGAGACTTTTTCTAAAATAAAATATTTTAAAGTTTTTTTAAAATAAATTTTCAAAATTATCAGATTATGACACATATTACTTAACAGAGTAAATTAATGTCGTTGACGGTCCTTACACTTTAAATGGTAACGTTTGTAATATTACAAAGTGAAACGAGTTAAAAATTACTTTAACCAATGTCAACCGAATTAATACTATGGATTAGAATTTGTGTGCTAATTTGTATAAAATCTTGGGTTTTCAGGTTAGGATTGCCAGGATTTTCAATACTTACGGACCTCGAATGTGCATGGATGACGGTCGAGTCGTTAGCAATTTCGTAGCTCAGGCCTTGAGGAAAGAGCCTTTGACTGTGTATGGTGATGGGAAGCAGACGAGGAGCTTCCAATGTGCATCGATGACGGACGAGACGTTAGCAATTTCGTAGCTCAGGCTTATTTACGAAACAAGCTTTGTTGAAACAGGTGGAGGGTCTCATGCGGTTGATGGAAGGAGAACACGTCGGATCTTATTCACCATGCTCGAGCTTGCCGAGGTAAAACCGTACCGCATAAATCTCGCTAATAAGAAATGTGTTGGAAATGGTAATGACATTAGTGAGATTTCTCTGTATGGATTCGCAGGTGGTTCAAGAAACGATCGATCCGAATGCAAAGATCGAGTTCCGACCCAACACAGAGATGATCCACACAAGAGGAAGCCTGATATCGCCAGAGCCAAAGAGCTACTTGGTTGGGAACCCAAGGTATCTCTCCGCAAGGGTCTCATTTTCGGACTTCCGGCAACGTATATTCGGTGACCACAAGGAGGGAAGTAGAGATGCACAGAAGCCGGATTTCAATTCGATCCGGATCGGATAAAAACCGATCCGGTTTTTTCTCCCAACCCAAAAATCGGATTTTAAAAAAATCGGTTCGGATCCTAACTGGTTTGGAGGGTCGGATGGTGTAACCGGTGTAACCGGTTTCGGTTTGCAAAAAACCGGTTTTTAAAAAAAAACCGGATTTTTTCGGATAAAAAACCGGTTTTTTATCGGTTTGAAAAAAACCGGTTTTTAATCCGGTAAAAAAACCGGTCATTCAATTTTTTCTCAAACCGGTTATACTATCCGGTTTTTAAATATCCGATCCGGTTTAAAAAAAACCGGTTTTTCCAAAATCCGATTTCGGATATTTTTTACCCAAAATCGGATATTCGGATTTTTTGTGCACCTCTAGAGGGAAGCAACGCCAACAATGAATCGTCATCTAAAGGTCTCGTATTTACACCCTTCGAAACACCGAATCAAATATAGTTAGCAGCGGTGACAGCACCAGCAATGGAATAGATTTTGGAGGTTCCCTTTCTGATAATGAGATTGTCATCTTTGTCTTAGTTTCATGTCTTCTCTTTAAGCTTAATTGTCAGTGAGCTTTGCGAATCTACATTTATCATTTGTTGTTGTTGTTGTATTTTTTTTTTTTTGCGTTTGTTTGATAACAAGTAGGGTTATGAATTTGAGTACTTCCATAACATAAAAGTCCAGATCAGAAATATACATTGACAGTAGCTATAATCTAATATTACTATTAAGCTACATTGCCGAGCGATGTTGCATGCGAAATCCCTTCAATCCACACAAATACTTACCATTCGATTGCATTCTACGGCTCGTCGCGGCCATTGATTTGGTCGTATTATCTAACTTTTCCAACCCTACGTTCAACGGGCAAAGCATCTGCTCGAAAGTTACGGCATCGCATCGCTTGTCGAGCCAAGCCGTAATGTCTGCGAAAATGATCTCTATGTTTTCATCAGGCTCTCCCGATGTCAAACCATGCCACATCCCAGGATACAGCTTGATTGTTTTGTCACGGCTGCTCGCTTTCTCGTGCAATGCCTTGCTTACTTCAGGGTCCGTTACTATATCGGCTTCCCCATGCAAAACAAAGAAGGGGAGTATCACCTGCCGAAAGAACAACCCCGATCAACAAGTTTTAAATGCAATATAAATGTAAAGGAATCCAGAATCTCTACCAGTCCACCGGCAACAATAATCGTTCTACCTAACTTTTTTCACTGCATTTAACCCATTCAAGGATAGATCCTAATGACGTGTGTAACAAGGAACTACACTCATTCATTACTCATATACCCCCTACGCATAGACAGTACAACTTTATCCATAATTGGTGTTTGAAGTTGAAATCTTGGACTCTAGAGGGGGTGATGTTTATACCTCATTTAAACCATCTTCAAGGCTGATGCTGGTTCGGAGCATTTCGAGTGCGGTTTTAAGCCTAGGCTTGTCTTGGTATATCAACTTATTGTTCCTTATCTGCAACCATCATGAAACCGAATAGACACAAATTAAATTCCACAGAGCACCGACACTCGGTCAAGAGACGAGAAAGTGTTCGAGCATAGACAATAGTGAATGTCCTAACCAGTTCTCGCTTAATAGGGTCCTTGAATGCCGAATTGATGACGTCTTTTGTGGGTACTATCTTCCATTTAGGTATAATTTCTTCCATTTTAGTCAATATGTTCACCACCACCGGGTGCGGCTTCACTTTCTCCGATATCTGTAATTTTTTGTAGAATTAGAAGAGCTGAAAAACAGACCTTATGTTATACATATCTTGTATTTATATGGTCTCACCATTACCTTACACATGGGAGCAACAAGAACAGCACCGTGCCAAAAGGAAGGGTCCTTTTTATGAAGCAATAAGGCCACTGCACCTCCCATTGACTCACCATACAAGAATCTGCTCTTGTCCCTGTATTCTTCCTGACCTGGAAAATTCAACCATAGGTGAATGAAGTAAAATAAAAAGAGTTCGCTAAGTATTTGTGGCAAGTTTACATACCACAGATGGACTTGAAAAAGTCACTGCAGTCGTTAACTATGTTCTCGAACTTCTTAATGTAACATCGAGCACCCTTGGACCTTCCATGTCCTTCGTAGTCGATCCCGAACACCGCATATCCAGCCGCGGCTAGCCTGGTTCCACATTCTATTACAGGAAATCCACATTCTATTAAAAACTACATCACCAGTCTTGGAAGCACTGATTAATGTTCACACGTTTTTAAACGGTGTAGGCCATGTAGGGAAGAGAAAAATAATAAGGTATTGGTGTATGTTGTTGAATTGACCCGTCACCATGATTAAGACTAAATAGCTGTTTATGAGGAAAATCATTGTATCTGGCAAAAAGACTTTATGAGAGAAATCTTGGTGGACCAAACTGATGTTGGCAACCTAACCAGAAAGATTTGACCCACATTTTTATTTTCATCACAGAGACCAGAATTCGTCAAGAACTATAACACGATTCAATATTTTAAGGGGAAAATGTGACTATTTCATCATACAGATCTTGTGAGATTTTCAGATTTCAATCAATTTTTTCTTGTTGGGTTATCTTAAAAGAACGTGAAAAAGGGAAATAAGTAAGAGTATTGAATACCTTTCATGAATCCACTGCACTCCATGCCATAACCTGCAAACGACATAATGGTCCAACTCACCTTTTACTTTTTCTCTTTTGGGGGGTGTTTAGCTGATTAATAATACACTAATTAAAGAGTAAATTACTGGAAAAATGAGTACCGTGGCATAGGAAAACAAGAGCCTTTGGAGAAGAGAAAGGCAACCATCTGCAAGTGAAAAGCAATGTTCCTCTTGAGTTCCTCACGTGCTCCTACACCATCATCGAAGGCTTGACTCAATCTTATAACTCCAGAAAAAAGAAAAAAAACCAGAACAAAGAAATATTTAGAGCTGAATGACCTCCTGGTATTCGAATGCCATGATGAAGATTGAAGGATTCAAACAAGAATGATATGAGGTTGGAGGAGTTTGAGAGTAAAGATGTATATATAGAGAAATGATGAAACAAAAGCTACCAATTGGGGAAGTAAACCCGAAGCTATTTGAGAAGGAGAGGAGGAGAGTGGTCGAGGGTCAGCAACACAGCTACTGCTTGCTTTATATTTGTTGGCTGTGATTAGTTCAATCCAAAAATATGGCAAAAGATAACGTGATGAAAGAAAAAGAATAGTAGTTTATACGGGTGTTGGATTAGCTAAAATGAATAGTGTTAAGAGAAGATAGTCCAAATAATACTTACCAAAGATATGACGTTTTCCCCTCAAATTGTATGCAATCTAATTTTAACAGAATAGTAATGCAGAGAACTTCGTATTTTTGATACGTCTGTTTAAAGATGTCGAATGATTTAAAAACTATTTTTTCCAACGTTACATATAAGTATATTTTTTTAAAACTGTTATCTCATCTCTAATTTCTATATATATATTAAAAAGGTTAAAAATAATAAAAGAAAGGTGCAATGGAAGGGATGGTTTAATGGTGATAAGATGGTTCAGGCGACAAGGTTGAAGAGAGGTTTAAATTAAGCATAAAAGTAGTTCATTAGTGCCCATTATTGAGGAGGCCTACTAACCCTTCCCATATTCCACTTAATTCATCGCATTTATTGTTGGCATCGGGATTCTAAACTCACCCACTCCGTTGACTAATCATCTCATTTTCTGGCGAAATTTTATTTTAATCCTTTGAAAATTTATGTGCAAGGCCCGAATCAACTTTAAACGGGCCAACCCCATTTTATGTGGCAATGGCAATACTAGAGTGAATAAAATTCGATTCTATTAGAAAAATTAATTTTTTTAACTCAGTTTGATATTAAAGAAAGCTCGACTCCACAAGAAGATTTCTCAGGAGGGTAACCATTCTAGTATTACTTAGACATTATACCAATTCTACATAATATATGTATATCACGTATGAAAAATATGAAGAAATATATATGTATATCATATATGGTTATAGAATATTGTTTAAATTAGAATCTAATAGTGTCATAGTATTATAAATATTTACAATTAAATTTAATTTTCATAAATTCAACTCAAAAAAATCAAATAAAATTTGAGTTACTAGCGTCCTTAACCACTTCTATGCTCTATCTGGTCTTAACCTCAATGTTAGCAAAACTGAATTCTATGCTGCTGGTATTTCTGCTAGAACCCTGGACTCCATTAAATCTGCCACCATCTTTAAACAAGGCTTTCTGCCTGTTAGTAGGGGTGTATTCGGTTCGATTTTTTTACCAAAAGTTGTAAAAATTGAACCGAACTGAAATAAACGGGTTTTCAATATTTAAACCGAAACCGAAACCGAATAGTTAAAAAACCGAAAAAACCGAAACCGGTTTTTTCGGTTCGGTTCGGTTTTTTTAACAGTTTGGGTTTTTCGGTTCGGTTCGGTTCGGTTTATCGGTTTTTCAATAAAAAAATCATTTGAAACTATAATTTTTTTTACAAATATTGCCTATTCGGTTCAATATGGAACAAATGGGTTCCATATGGAAAACCCGAACCGAACCGAATCAAAAAAATGAAGCCTTTAAACCGAACCGAAAATCGAACCGTTTAAAGCCAAACCGAACCGAACCGTTTTACTCAGTTCGTGTCGGTTTTTCGATTTTATCGGTTTCGTTGCTCAGCCCTACCTGTTAGATATCTCGGAGTTCCTCTTGTCACTCGTAAACTAAATGCAAAAGACTATCTTCCTCTCTTCGATAATATCAAACTTAAGCTTCATCATTGGTCGGGAAAACTTTTAAGCTATGCTGGGCGTCTTGAGCTTATTAAAACTGTCCTATACAGTGTTATTAACTTCTGGAGTAGGCAATTTATCCTCCCTCATAAAGTTATTAATCGTATAGAACAACTTTGCTCTCGTTTTCTTTGGAAAGGTAATGATACAGCTGCAAAAGCTACTAGGATCAGCTGGGACAGACTTTGTTGTCCCAAATTTGAAGGAGGTCTCGGGTTGAAGAACATTCACTCCTGGAATAAAGCCTTCATGATCCAACTCATTCGGAAAATTTTGGCTGGAGAGGGTTCTTTATGGATCGCATGGATTCATTGCTATGTTATTAAAAATAACGACCAAAGCGATGTCAAAGTTAACTCTTCCATTAGCTAGAAGAGAAACCCTCCCAAATGTTACTGCTGACACCACGAAAACAAAAGAAATTTGGGATAATATTAGACTTCATAGAGACAAAGTTTCCTGGCATAAAGTGATTTGGTTTCCTCTTCACATCCCTAAGCTAAGCATAATCTCTTGGATGGCTATTCTGGATCACCTTCCTACTCGAGATAGACTAATTAGAATGAGAATTATTACTGATAGTCTTTGTATTTTGTGCAATGAGGATCCTGAATCCAGAAATCATTTATTTGTTGACTGTATTTATGCTACTTCTCTTTGGAATTCTATAATGAATCTTTCTAGCATGAGATATACACACAGGTCATGGGAATCAAGGATTGAATGGGCTACTCAAACTTGGAAGGGTAAATCTCTCCTTTCCATCATTTTGAGGATCGCATGGACTGCTTTTATATACTTCATTTGGGAGGAAAGAAATAGAAGACTTTTCAATAGAGGATCCAGAACTGCAGATCAACTTCTCACGTATATAAAGGAGCAAGTTCGAATCAAACTCAGTGACAAGAATACTAACAAACTAGATTATGTTAATTCTAGACTTTGTAATTATTGGGGTATAGACTAAGCCTTTTGTTTGTAAATATGTGTTTATACTCCTAATAGGGATGATTGTTGTACTATGAACCATTCTTACTTGGGTAATAAAATCTACTTATCCAAAAAAAATTAACAATATTTTGACTCAACTCGACTCAATTAAACACTTACCCTTATTGTTTCATTTGTGAATCGAGGGACTGAAAGATGATGAGAAGTAGACGATTTTTTTTGGTAATGAAGTTTGTTGGAGAGGATGATCGGGGCAATGGCGGCGAGAAATTAACGACAACTAATGTTAATTTGAGAGGAAGTGATTAAATTTCGATTGAATTAATAAAGTTTAAAAACGTGAAAGAATTTACTAAATAAGATTAATAAATTTCGATTGAATCTTGTCGTTTGCGAATGGAGCAAACTAGTTTGGGAGGGTCACCCTCGTCTCTACAGTACCCGATCTGGATTAGTCGGTCAATAGATTGGATATCAGTGATTAATTAAAAAAAAATTATAAATATGAAAAATTAAATTTATAATTAATATCAAAGTATTAATATATATATATATATATATTGATTAATTTAGCGTGGTTAAATTTTTATATTTTCTGTTCTAAATACTGTCAATCATTTGACAATGAATGTCTAAATATTCTATAATTTCTTATGCTCGAACCTGAGGCCTCTAGAAATAACAACCATTCCTTTAATAATTGAGATAACTTAGTTCGTACAAATTATTAAAATATATAGATATGAAGCTCTTCAGTCTGCAGGTTACCTTGCAAGGCTCTTTCTTAATACTGTGGATAACCCTCTTCAGTGGCTTGAAGAGTGTTTATTGGTCTTAGGCCTTGAGCGTTTTGCGACTTTGGTTACCATTCTTTGGAATTTATGGAATGGTAATAACATGCATTAATGATGATAAGTTGCAATAGAAGTGGGTCATTGCTAACGCCTAGGTTTTGCATCAGAAGTTCGTGAAGGTCTCTCGATCTCGTGACCAAGTACATGGAGTTGTTGGGGCCTCTAGCTTGGAGAAATTGATCCTTGTTACTGCTGCTGCTTTTTTTTGGTTAGAAACCCCCTTCAGTTGGTGTTGTGAAGCTCAACTTTGATGGTTCTCTGGATCCTACGACGGGGTCTACGACTGTGGGAATCATAGCTTAGGACCATGTTGGACAAGTTTTGGGGGGCTCCCTCAATCGACGTGAGGTGTTCTTGACCCTACTTTGGTTGAATTTAATGCTTTTGTAGCTATCGTGGATCTTGCTATCGAAAGGTAATGGAAAAATGTCCACTTTGAATCTGATTGTGATATCCTGGTTAACAAGTTACTCCGTGATGAAGAGGACATCTCTACTTAGACATTACACTTTCAGCAGGCTAAAAACCGTTTCAAAATATTTTCGGGTTTTTCTATTACTTTAATTCAAAGATCTTGTAATAATGTTGCAGATAGTTTGACTAAATGAGTTGTTCAGTCTGTGAGGTCTTTATATTTTGATTTGATTTGTCTTGAGGTTATCTCTATAAAAATTATGAATGATGTAACATTTATTCGATCTATATAGTTTGGGATACTCTTTTCTCCATCCAACACTTTAGTATTTGGTAAGAAGAATTTTTAATGAGGCCCCAACCTATCACAAATTCGTTCTCTTTTTTGTTGTTGATAATTTCAATTTTATTACCCAAATAGCAATCTGCTACAGTAACAGTGTACAAAAGTCAGAAATTGGATACAGTGTGCAAACTACTTACAAAGAAAATCAAAGATCACATATATCCCAATTCCTTGCAAGAGTAATATTAACATTGTCATTTATATTAAAGTTCATATTCCTTAAGTGCAACCCTACTATATCCCTAATGGTTTGGAACAGTTCTTGAGCATTCTTAGACCAGCTTTGAAACAGTCTCTTGTTCATTTCATCCCACAGAAAGTAGATAGTAGCGTTGAGTGCTATCTTCAAAATTGAAGTGAGCAGAGATTTTCCTTTCCAAGAAGAAGTTGCCCATGCACAAAAAGAATTCCATGTACTTGGAAAAAAACTGAATGCCAAAAATAGAGAAAACTGATTTCCAAATGAAATCTGCCATAGAACATTGAAGTAATAGATGGTCCCTTGTTTCAATATGGTTACCACAAAAACACAATTGTAGTCATTAATCAGTCCCATACGGTGGAGTCTTTCCTTTGTAGGAAGTCTATCAAGCATAGCCATCCAAGAGATTAAACTATGCTTAGGAATATGCAGTGGGAACCAAATAATCTTCTGCCAGGGAACAAGAGGTCTTTTTTCTCGAATAGAATCCCAAATAGCTCTCACTGTCACAGATCTAGTAGTCAAAATAGGGTAAGCCTCTGATCGCAATTTGAGGAGTTTCCTTATGCTCCAGTTTAGAGATGAATGGATGTTAACATCCATAGGTCCTTATTTTTGAGGACATAGCATTTAATCCATGCCACCCAAAGCGAACCTTCGTCTGTTAGGATATTTTTAATGAGTAGGAGCATGCAAGCTTTGTTCCAAGTTTTTATGTCTTTGATTCCGAGGCCTCTCTCAGATTTTAGAAAACAGATGTTATGTCAACTTACTCTAGCTCCAGAAGCTTTTTGATCAGCTCATTTCAAGAAAAACCCTGAACATAATTGTTCAACTTTTTTAAGGATAGATTGAGGAAAGAAAATTTGCCTACACCAGAAGTTGGTAAGGCTAGATAAAACAGTTTTAATAAGTTCCAACCTGCCAGCGTAAGTAAGAGATTTAGAAGACCAGTGATACAATCTTGTTTTAATTTTTTCAATTAGAGGCGAACAATCTTCTTCAGAAATTTTTCTAGTTACGAGGGGAATGGCCAAGAATCTAACAGGCAGACTGATGATTTAAAAAATAGTAAGCAATTTATTTCTTTCAGTTTAGGGGCAGACATACCAGCAGCAAATAACTCACATTTAGAAGCGTTGAGTTTAAGGCCGGACATTTTGTAGGTCTAAAACGCTGTTAACTCCAATAACAGATTCAGTAGACCCTTTGCAGAAAATCAGGATGCCATCAGCAAATGAAAGACGAGTAAGGCCTAATTTTTTGCATTTAGGATGGTACCCAAAGATTCCTCTAGTAGCTGCTATGTTTAGGATTTTGGAGAGTACATTCATTGAAAGAACAAATAATAAATGAGAAAGTGGATCTCCTTGCCTAATCCTTTTCGCCCCTTTAAAGTATCCAATTAAACTCCCATTAAACAAAACCGAGTATCTAGCAGTAGAGAAACATATTTCGATCCAAGTGATAAAGGTTGAAGGCATTCCAATGGCTTTAAGAACTGAAGAAATGAAGTCCCAATTAAGTGTATCAAAAGCTTTATGAAGTCCCAATTAAGTGTATCAAAAGCTTTATGAAGATCAATTTTAGAGAACATCTTGGAGAAATGTTCTTCCTACTATAGCCCCTAACAAGTTCTTGAGCAAGTAGAGTATTATCAATAATACTTCTACCTTTAATGAATGCAGTTTGGTTGAGGGTAACCAGATCAGGAATGATGCTTGTTAATCTGCTCACCATAATTTTAGAAATTGCTTTATAGACAACTGAGCAGCACGAGATAGGTCTGAAGTCCTTTACTTTGCAAGGATTAGGAATCTTAGGCACAAGCGCTATAGAGGTAGCATTAAAAGCTGGAAGCAGGAACATATCTTGAAAGAAATGTTTAATGGTAGCAATAACATCATTATTAATGATGGACCAACATTTTTTGAAGAAAAAAGGAGTGTAGCCATCAGGGCCAGGAGATTTATCATTACCTTGGCTGAAGAAAGCTATCTTGATATCATCCTCAGAGATATCTTTCACAAGCTCATTTGAGTTATCCTCAGTCAAGAAAAAATTTAGTAGGTCTTTCAGTAGATTATGATATGTAATATCCATATCATGGTCAGTAGAACCAATTAAATGGTTTCTCTTTTGTGTTTAAGAGCTACCGCTGAGTGGAAGAATTTGGTACACTTGTCACCCTCTTTTAACCATTGGATCTTAGCCTTTTGTCTTAAAAACAAATTTTCAGCATCTTCAAGATGTTTGAGCTCAGTTTGCAATTGTAATTCCTTATCAATTAAGTCATCACCGCTTAAAGTTTTAATATGCTGATATTCAATTTCAGATTTCTTTTGGTGACCTGGCTCTAAGTTCACTGTAATTAGAACGATTGAACTCTCTAAGTCTGATTTTCAGGTGCTTCAACTTAGAAAAAAAATTTCATTGGATTACCAGTAACAGAACTATTCCAAGACTACTGAATAACTGTCATGAAGTCAGGATGATGAGACCAAAAATTGAAGAACTTGAAAGGCTTTGGTCTGTTTGCATGGACTTCCTTTGTAAGCCAGACCAAAGCTAAGAAGTGGTCAGAAATGCCAGGAGCTAGGAATTTAACATGGGAAGTCTGGAGTTTACTCACCCAATTTGGGTTGACTAGAACTCTATCAAGTTTCCTAGCAAGGTAGGAATTTTGTTGTTTGTTGCACCAAGTAAAAGATGAGCCAAAGAAAGGATGATCAATTAAGTCAAGGTCAAAATACACATCTTGAAAGTGCCTCATGTTTGAAGAAACAATAGGACCTAGGAGTTCAGTGTCAGAACTCTCATTAGGATGTAGGGTAATGTTGAAGTCACCACCCATGATCCAAGGGGTTTGGCCTAGCATGAATTGCTGCCAAAGTAGTCTTCTCACTAAACCAACATTACTGATATACACTGCAGTAATAACAAAAGGGGTACCAAGATACATTCCCTTAACAGACATGCATTGATTAGAAGATTGAATAACAGAGAAGTCAAGACCTGATTTACATAGGATCCAAATTCTGCCATTAACAACATACTCATAGTTAGAACTAACTTGCCAACCATTGAATTTTCTGTCAATAATACTTATGGATTTTTTCGACTTTAACCCTTGTTTCAAGCAAACAAAGGATATCGATTTTATTTTGGATTGCTCTTTTGAGAACTCTATTTTGCTTGTGAGGACAGTTAAGTCCTCGAACATTCCAGAAACCAATTATCATTGGGAAGGAATTTTTGCAGAAACTCCTTTACTACCAGCTACGCTAGTCTTTGTTTTCAGTAATGTATCTTTATTTTTTGACTTTAGTTCAAAATTCGTTATTCATTCAACAACTACGACTAAAATAATAGAGTCAATAGTTGAGTGGGTAATAGGATTTATTTACCCTGTTTCTTATGTCGAAAGTCCAACACCTCACACAACCTAAAGCCTAATCACAACGCTCAAAGGAACACTGAAAATTGAAAGCCCTAGTTACCACCAATCCATATATCATTTAGGGTCTGTTTGTTTCACGTAAAATGTTTTTCAAAAAATATTTTCCTAATTTTCCAATGTTTAATTGGAGGAAAACTGGTTGGTCAACGTAAAATATTTTCCTGGTCAACAGAATTTTTTTAAGTTTTCTGGAAAATGACTTATTGTCTGATTTTCCGTAAGTCATTTTCCGAACTTTTCACTTCAAAAAATAAATACTTAAAATAATTTTATTTTATGAATTTAATATTAAAAAAATATTTTAATATCATTTTAATCAAAAAAATAATTATTAAAATATTTAAAATATATTTATTAATATTTCTAATAATATATTTAATATTATAATAAAATAATCAATTATATGATAATAATATAAGATATTATATTTCTATTTTATTAATATATAATAAATTATTAATAAAATTTTTATTAGTTATTAACTTCATAGAAATAATACTATTAAATTATTAATATTGAATAATATTATTTATATATTTAATATTAATATAATAATCTAATAATATTTTAATAAAGATATTTAAAATATACTAATTAATATTTTTAAAATATAATATAACACTATTACTTTAATAAATAATTAATATAATTTATAATATTTTTATTTTAATAAAATATACCAATATTAATATTTTTATTAATAAAATTATAAAAATAATATTTTAAAAATAAATAAATTATTTTAATATTTTAAAAAATAATAATATTAATTTTATGATAAATAATATTATTTATTATATTTAATATTTAAAATAAATAATTTTTTAAAAAATTATTAATTAGTGGAGAAAGGTGTCAATAACATATTTCAAAAATCGTAA